TGCCGTCAGAGTTAAGAGTCCAGTATTTTTATTGTTGATCATTATTTATTTATTACTGGTGAGGGGGAGGGGGGGGCGGTTACAGGTGTTCTCTGAACTCTTACTTGCCGTCAGAGTTAAGAGTCCAGTATTTTTTTTATTTATTTATTTCTGGGAGGAGGAGGGGGAGGGCGGGTGTCCATCTGTCCTCTGAACTCTTAACTGCCTTGAGGGTTAAAGATGATAGGGCATTACAATCCATTTTAGCTTACGAAAAAAATTGTACCTCTAAGCTAACATCGGTATTCCCCCAGCTAGAGAATTTTCACTAGCAGTAACTCTCTAAATTTGACAACGATGCAAGGGGTACCGTAGGGCGCATATTGTGCACGCCGAGCATGGGNAGGGGGAGGGCGGGTGTCCATCTGTCCTCTGAACTCTTAACTGCCTTGAGGGTTAAAGATGATAGGGCATTACAATCCATTTTAGCTTACGAAAAAAATTGTACCTCTAAGCTAACATCGGTATTCCCCCAGCTAGAGAATTTTCACTAGCAGTAACTCTCTAAATTTGACAACGATGCAAGGGGTACCGTAGGGCGCATGTTGTGCACGCCGAGCATGGGAAATACATACCATTGCCACCTTGCCACGCATTGCCACGTTGAACGAGAGTGACAATTTTTGTCACTAGACGGGTGAAATAATTTGTCTAAAAATCGAAAAGCTTCCTAATGGTCAATACACGGACACAACAACGCGTGCAGTTGAGACGACTGCACATCGATGACATCATCGCGCTCTGTCACGCGCCCAGTATAAAATACCTCTCGCTCGCACCCATTGTCATGCGTATCCAAATTCCTGTCTTACGCGATTTATTATAGTCAGTAGAGTCCAACACTGACCTCCGATCAGATCACTTTGATTATTCTTTCTCTTTTGTATATATTCTAAACGTCTTGATTAAACTGTAATTTATATTCTAAATTACATTTGTTAGTGAATTGTTACATCCCTCAACAACCTCAATCCCTACATTGGTTCCGATACTGGTTGGGGTCTGGGTGAGAGACAGATCTCCACAGAATCTCAAAGGGAAGCCGCGTTTTTATTCGACAAAAGTGAAAATCTCCTCGTGGCGCGGCGTGCATTTTTTTATCATCGAAAGTTTTTACCCGTGCATCCCAGTGAAGTACATCCATCCTGGTGATCATCCACGTATCCTAGACTTTCCAGTGCCGCACATTCCAGGAGTTCGAGTGTTAAATTCAATTCCCCGCTATAGAAAACCGTAAAATTTCGTCGCGCGGGTACTCAACGGCATTTTCAAACGGGCGTCTCGTGAATTCTAGAACATTCCAAGCGTCCGAGCGCCGAGCCTTGGTTTTGCTACGTCCTTGCGAAATCAAAACAAGTGGTCGTGCACTAACATCATGAGTGCGACGATTTTATTTTTGTGTTATTGTGACGAGTGCCAGCACATTGCTGAGCACCCAGAGACGTTGTGCTGTGCTGGTGATAATAAAGACTTCTAAATACTTTATTTTTCTCTCTCACAAGCGTCGATTTTATTTCATTTCGGATAAACTGTGAGATGACAACAACCGCGCTAACACAAAGACAAAGACAACGGTAGCAACGAGCAGCTGGAGGACAGTGACACACTGGCATGAGGGAGAGAAGAAAGTAACCTCGTGCCACTCTTCTCCGATGGCAGCGTTGAGAACATCGGGCCGACTCAACGAGCTCATCTCCGCTAGAGCATCGTCGAGAATCACATACACACGCAGGCATTACCTCTACCTTCAGGAGTGATGGACACTTTGTTGGTACGAGGCACATCAACGTAGCGAAAATGGACACCACATCCGCGGCACGGGCGCAGGAGGCTGGTCACCTCAACCGTAGTCCCTTCGCATCTACACACGCCAACAGGATTTCACGGGCATCAGGGGATCTGGACCCTCGCCTACGATCCGCGGCGACTTCGCGGCATGAGGGAGAGAAGAAAGTAACCTCATGTCGAACTTCTCCGATGGCAGCGTCGAGAACATCGGGCCGACTCACAGAGCTCATCTCCGCCAAACCTCAATGAGAACTTCGCCCTCTGGAATACGCGACGTCACATCGAACGCCGATAGACGTCTTCACCAGGGCATCACCTCTCTGACACATCATCGAGAGGCATCGCACACACCTGCATACACACACCATCGCAACACACGGCGAGGGTAAACAAACACACCACTCCAAGCTCACGACCGTCTCAACACATTAGCAACCTGGAGAGCAGCCCACGCCTAGCAGAAGCTAGGGTGACGCAGTCACCTCCATCATAGAATTTTTTTGAGCACAAGCTCAACCGTGATCAACGTATTAATTTTTTGTTTAATGTTTCAGTTTCGAAAAACTGCGTTTTTCACTAAGAAGGGGAGTCATGTAGCGCCTCGCTACATCCACACTCACGTGTCAATACACGGACACAACAACGCGTGCAGTTGAGACGACTGGACATCAGTGACATTATCGCTCTCGGTCACTCAACTGTCTAATGTATACTTCTCACTCGCACCTATTGTAACGCGTTTCCGAATTCTCGCCTTTTGTGAATATTATCTTCAGTCTGGCGCTAACCGCCTATTACTCAGCAAGTCGACCACCTGACTTGCTTTTCACTTTTGTATATATTTCTAGACGCGATTGAATAAACGACAATTAAGACAACTAATTGTTTAGTAGTGAATTGATTAAACTTCCTGACAACACCTCAATTCCTACATCCCCCCCCCCCTGTAGGGATTGAGGAGTTTTCGGGAAGGTAACAATCCACTAACAAATGCAATTTAACTTATAATCACAAATTTATT